TCGTATTTGAGTAGACGCCCCGTTTATTTATTAAATAGTATCTTTAATTATTTATTTGTTTTCTTCTATCGGCCTGAACATACGATTTATCTTATTAAAGATGAATATCTGCTGAAGGGCAGGATTCGAACCGACGTCTCTCTAGGGTAAACCGTCATTAAATCTGGCGGGTTTTTTACCACTCGGCCACGAAGTGAGGCGACGGTCACGCAAAGCTGGACAGTACCTTAAAACACAGATCTTTTTCTGACTCTTGAAATAAACACATCTGCTCAGTTTCATATCTCAACGTAAACAAAGCAATTTTTTTAAAGACAGGGATAGAGTTTGTATCTATTAAACAGTGAATTTAGTTATTTTCATCTACCGTCTTGAATAAATAAACGGGGCGTCTACTCAAATGTGAATATCCAGAAAGAAATATCGTCTATGTAATAAAAATTAATAAATAAAAATTCCATCACTTTCTTTAAAAATATATGTGTGTGTGTGTGTAAAAATTTCATATAGAGTACATCTGTAAAAGGACAATATGAATAAAAACCAAAGGAAAACTTATATTAGTCGACGCGTTTCGTCTTCTGAAGGAACTTATCAAAGCAAATACAAGAATTTTATTTTGTAACAAGTATTTATATAAAAGAGCAAAAATGTCATTGGTTTTTCAGACTTTAAAGTCTATGTATACTCATAAACATCCATTATGTTAGCTGAAATATCAGGCAGAAACATGACGTGACACAATTCGATATCACATAAATGAAAGTGATGTTTTTTTGGCGGGGGGCGGTACGCAAATTAGTATATAATTATTTTAGTTTGGGATTAATTTGTGGTGATTTCTAAAAGTAGCAAAGTGTGGAGCACCCAGTGAGGATCGAACTCACTAATCTGTCAAAATTGGCCTAGTGAAACACACTTGCTAACCATAACACCACGTCGAAGTACCCTAAATGATTTTCTAAGCGTACCTTACATGTGGCACAAGGCCGAAAGTATGGGACACCCAGTGCGGATCGAACTCACTATTAAACCGTAAGTGGTATAACAAAACTTGCTAACCATTATATCACACCAAACTAATCATTTGGCATTGATTTATATGTTATATATTTTGAATGACATGAAGTTAAGCACATAACCGTTTTCATTCATTTTTTTTAAAACATTTTTTGACACATTCCGAATTATACGATCATACTGCTTGAACGTCCTAAATAACTATTTAAAACAAAACTGTTGATCTAAATAAAAATCTATATTCTAAGCAGGGCGAAAAAGAAAAAAGAAACAAAAATCGATTGATCCTTCCGTAGACTAGATTATGAGAAATTTTATCGTCAGCTCACCGTGGAAGCGCTAAACGGACGTGATCAAAGTCAATTCCTGATACCTTTTGCAAAAGAAAAAGGTTAAGAGGGAGCTGAGAAAATTTTGTTCTCGTTCTCCTTCCTAATTCTGCGTAAGGTTCCGTTCGATAAAAAGGCCAAGCCGTGCAAATACCAACAACGTGAAACCTATGAAGAATAAATATATGCCAAGGGACGCAACTTAGTGCCTGATATAGAGTTCAAGGGAAATAACTCTCGTAGACTAATACATCGGAAATCTATAAATTTCCCCGAACACTGACGTAAATGTGTTTCTCATGCATTTTCATTTATTTCATTAATTAATTGCTGCCTTCATTTATATAACTCATTCTTCTATTTCTCTATTCGACGCCATTCAGCAAATAAGAGACCGTGCTATGGATCAGTGAGTTTTATTTATTTCAGTTGTACGTCAGCTAATAACACAGACGATCGTTTCAACGGAAGGAGACTAGATTTTAAACACACTCATGTACGTAAGAAATAAGAGTTATTTGCCAATATATATATATATATATATATATATATATATATATATATATTGATGCATGTTTCATTAAATAATATAGACAAGTTTTGTCTATTTATTTTACGTAAGTTCCTTTCATATTGTCTGATAAGCTTAATGACATTATCATTAAAAGACAAAACATGCCTGGACGCATACACAATTCCGGAAAATCCTCGTTGAAAACACAATTATATTTAAACATGAAAACAATAAACAAAAACTAAAAATTCTTGAAGCTATATACATATAACCGTTGAAACCTAACCTGAACAAAATAAACTACGAAATCTCCACAAATATTCTTAAATGCCTATAATTGATAACATAAGTCATTGGTTTATACCAACGGCTTCCCATACTTAATACTTCTCGTTTTTACTCTCGCGTTGTCATGTGTGACGTCACGAGCTGCGACGCGATTTTCGCTTCCGCGTCTCGTATACACGAGATAGTCGTTGCATTGAAATTTTTCATGCAACAAAAACAGACTATACTGTTTCCTTCCCTAAAACTGAATCTAAAAAACAAAATAATTAATAATTGTGGTATGTCTCTCACTAAAAAAACAATAATTTAATTATGTTTAAAAAAAATTAAATAAAAATATTTTATGAAATAGGATGTAAAAAAAGAAAATTAACAATTTTGAAAGTGCGACGACAGAGAATTTAATACGTGCTAAACAGAAGAAAAGCAAAGCAATTTCATAAGACCTTTCTCTTAAAACACATAACCTATTATTTCTGAACTTTGCATTAATAGTATTGACGAAAACGTTTTTAATACATTTTTTGCATTAGCATATTAAAAAAATATTTTTTAAAATATCATCCCATCGCAGATTATAATACGCTTTCAAATTTATGATCTGTAAGAATATATCTTTTTAATAACAGCATTTCCAAAAAGACACATATTCAAATTCAATTTTAAAATATTTAACAACTTTATCACATTTTGTATTTAAAATTGGAAAAAAAAGAAAACAATTTTTATAAAAATTCATTTTTCATCTGAAAATTATTTTGGCTTCAGACAATACTACCCTTAATACATATTATTCATAAAAGCCATTAAAAGCTTTATTGATTAATGTCTTAATTTACTGGGTTTTGTATTTTAAAATTCGGAGCTAAATCGATGATTTTATATTCTTCAAAGTCTTCTGCTTTTAACTAATATAATCACAAAATTACACGGAGTCGAATTTTTGAGATTGGGGATAACAGATGTAAAAAAATAATTTTACCATAACTTTACAAAAAAACAAGTATTTCTAAAATAATTTAATTCATTTGTGAAAGAAATTATTTTGTTTCAACTTCTGAAAGTTTCACTAAAATCCGACAATTACTTGATTTTTGCAAGAAATTTCAGCGGCAACTGTAAGTCATCAATGTTTGTCTGATTCATTAAAGTCTTTAACAAAATATACTATTGAAATAACTTAGATGGTAAAATGATTCCTTTATTACTAATTAATATATATATATATATATATATATATATATATATATATATAAAATCGCTGTGTATGAAATTAAAAAAAATCTCATTCTCGTATTTTAATACTAATTGTAATAATTCTACGAAAATAAACATTTATTTTCAAAATTTTTCCAGACATGTAAGAAAAAATAACGTGTGCATCTATCTCGGGTATGTGCTTGTATATATGCCAATGCGTTAGTATGTTTAGGTATCTCTCAGTTTGTGAATTTTAGTTTAATTTATTGTACGTTTATGATCACTACTGCTGACTGATATCAAGTTTCCTCAACACTACCCCAGTCACACTCCTCATTCCAACCCTCCAGTCGACGAGTTAAGGCTGCCACTTTCTTTCATTTTCGGTGACTTTAAGTCAGGCTAAATTTCATTCAACTTTTCCATTGATACATTCTTCTAAAAAAAAACTTATAATATACGGAATAAATTATTTGAAATGGATATTGAAAACAATAAGTTGAAATAACAATGTGTTCTTTGTTAAAACAGGGCATACAAGTCATCAAAGATTTTCAAAAGATTATTTATAAAATTAAAGCCAGAAATACACTGCCTATTAAGTATGTCTCCAGCCTGATAATGCCTAGATCTACGCAGCCCGACTAGCCACTTTAATTTTATTTCATTCTTTTTACTTACTTTGTTTGTTTTTTTATTTCTTCTTTCTTTCTTCTTTATTATGAACAACATAAATAAAATATATTTCGGTCAATATTTTGAGACACTGAGTTAAAACAATTAATTTTGGATACATCTGAAGTCAAGAAGGAAAACGACACACTACGAAAGATGTTTGTTGCTTGGAAATAGATATACTTGAATGTTGATTCACCCAAGCTAAACACAACAAGCCCGAGCCCGGAGTCGCCACTGATATGTAAAGTACCAGGTTGAGAACTGGTGCGGGCTAGCTGCCCTTCATGGGGGTGAAAGGAGTCTCTCTGAGCTTTGGTTAGCAATCATTTTAGTGTTGGTTTCACGATAAAAAGACTTCAGATTGGAAGGAAAACTCATGACAGCTGAAGCCGGTTATTATATTGCATGTGTCTGCCGATATTGACTGTGATCTGGAGAGGTTAAACCCCGTGATAATAACACATGAGGAGTGTCGTTCGGAGTTTCCGTGGCAAGTTTTTTGCACCGTTACTTTTTTTATCGACAGATCCCAAAAGTTTGCAGGGTCCGACAGAAGCCTTCACCACTTGAAACAAATCATTGTGTTGGTTTTCTGGCAACTACATCTAATTAGTTCCACACATATCGGGCTACTGCGAAAAACTCTATGAAACAACATCAACTTCATCTTGGCACTTGGAATATACGAACTCTCCAGAACAACAACTCAGCACCAGAAAGAAAAACAGCTCTGGTCACATTGGAGCTAAAGAAGTGCAACATCGATATAGCTGGACTGAGAAGTAAGCATCAGTCGACTACATAAAATGAGAAAGCAAAATAAGACATCTAACAGTGTTCCTGCTTCACTTGGATACAATGCATTCTCCTGTACTGTTTGTGGTCTTTTGTGCAATTCTTGAGCTGGTCTCAAAAGTCATGCCCGTCATAGGCATGCAGATAATTAGTTCGTAGTCGTCGGAACCTCATACGGGAGAATTCATCAGATAGATAGATAAATAGATTGATAGATATATGGCATCTTGAAGTACATATGATTACAATTAATGTGCACATATATTAGTATGTGAAAAATAAAAATAAAATAATGAATAATAAATAAATACAATAAAATAAATTAAATAAATCTTTTTTTTTTTTTTTTTTGGTGCCTCGTTCCCATTATCCGTTACACATGACGTCACGCGAGACTATTTCAAACTTACAGTTTCCCAAAAGAATATCAGGATGTAGACGAAGGAATTTTTTAATATATATATATATATATATATATATATATATATATAAATTTCAAGAGGATAGAATCCAGGTAGAGCTCAATGTCTAGGACAGAGCAAGAATATAATATAAAAGAATTGTAATCATGATCCAATTCATCAGGCCTACACTGTCTAATGTATTGGATCGTCATTACAATTCAATGCAATAAATTATAACCATGGAATATTTTGAGCCTTTACATATATATATATATATATATATATATATATATATATATATATATATATATATATATAGTCACCCACAGACTGTTTCGCTATATCACAGTACATCAGTGTGGCTAGACATCCGATTGCATCAAGCCGGGATCGAAACCCGACGGATTTGGCATCAGTCACAATCTATCGTCGCACGGCAGAGAAATTGCATGGCTCTGACAGTTTTAGAATGTGACAGCAAACCGACAAAACCTGGTGATATCGTGAGGTATTTCTGGCGTGCTTTGCTTTCATAATGATAATCCTTCTTCCCACTGAAACCTCCATGAACCGACGTTCATTTTCCAACGTAGACGTAATTCTCGGTAGACCAAATAAAGATTCTTACGTCGAGCTGAGAACATTTCTTGTACACGAGGGCCGCTCCGAAAGTAATACCTCTTATCTTATTATTTTGATCCATGCCGTTAGAGGAAGATGTTGATGCTATAACAAGAGTTATTGAACCTTCACACCAAAAGACCCCAATATTTTTATGATAACAGCAGCAGAAAGGCAGTCTGACAAAATGACGTATGACATGAAAGTGATCACGAAGCAGAGATATGTCATCGTATTCGTGCATGCGGATAAAATTACACCTATTGGTAATGATCGAAACTTGGTGAACGTTTACGGAGAACAAACAGTGACTGTAAGCACAGTTAGGCGATGGGTAATGCATTTTTGACAGTGATGGGTCCGACAAACTACAACCGAGTTAACAGAATATCGTCTACGCTAACAAAGCAACTCCATGGCTGTTGTGAAAAATTGTGGAAATATTTTTTTTTAGAAGAAAACATGTTCTATCCATCAGTGCCATTATGCTTTTGTGTCTGAACAAGTCCATCATACTCAAACACTCGGTTACGATGACTTGTAACTTCGTGCTAGCAGAGCTATCGACGGCCCCATGTGTTCCATCTACCTAACTTCACTCACAATACTTGGGTCAGCCCGTGGTATGGTTTTCAGATATTTTCCAAAGGTACCGCACGTTGGGGTCGTCCCTACTCCAGATCTTTAACATCAAGTAGTCTCCTTCCTGACAAATCAACCGTGGTGAGATTCGAACCCTGGTCTCATGCAAGCGAAGAGTCTAACCACTCGGCTAGAGAGATACATAATACATACATAAAGATAGATAGATAGATAGATAGATAGATAGATAGATAGATAGATAGATAGATTCATTGACATGAAAAGATAGATAGATAGATAGATAGATAGATAGATAGATATAAACAATTGAATTAAGTAAGTGATGTGATGAAATAAATGAAAGACACAAAATTAAAATCTATGCATAGACGTAAATACCTATTTAAGAAAAGAGCCTGTCTTATTAATAACTCACTGTTATGAATGTCTTTCCCGAGGCAAATCAATCTGGGCCATGATTCATACGAGTACAGAATATGGTGTTCACCCATGACATTCATTGTCACGAGTCAAGAGGCGCTCCTGATCTGCATAGGTTGACTTAATTTACTAACTCCCCAGTATATACTTATCATGATGAAATAACTAGGACACACACCCAAATGAACAAGCATGTGTGTGTGTGTAAACATCCGTATCCAGGTCTCCTGATGGGCACACACACACACACATATATATATATATATTGTCATCCACAGCTCATCAGTGTGGCTAGACGTCCGGTTACCTCTAGACGTTGGTGCACGGCAGGGATGAAGGTGAATTTAAGCATATTTATTTTTAGATAAACCCGCACTGACTGAGAGAACTCAATTCACTTTAACGAAGAGTCTTGCATAATTAGTAGTAATAGTCACACTTCCTCCCCCAGAGAGCTATCAATTTTTTTTTCCATTTTATATATATATATATATATATATATATATATATATATATATATATACTGGATGTAACAGCAAAATTGGACAATTGCTAAATTAAGATTTGAACTGTTGTATCACAAGGATATCTTAGTGGAATTTTCCAAGGTTTTTTATAAGACTGTTGAACTCTAAGCAATAAGAATGTATAATTATCACTCGAAGCTTAACAGAAGAATCGTGATGAAATCGATCATAAACGAAAATGACATGTTCATCATTAATTAATCACAGCTAAGAAGTTTATGAAATATTGAAATAAAGTTCAAATATATATATATATATATATATATATATTTCAGGATCATTTTCCAACTTATTCAAGACAATCTTCGTCCTCTCTTTCTAATTTTCTGTCCTATAGTAACAATGTGCCTCACAGATTTCAGGTAAGATTTCATTTTCAAGTCTTTTTTCGCTGCTCTTTGGACTGTCATAGCTGAAACTCCTCTCTCATATTCCAAACGTCTTATGGATTGAGTTGGATCTTTTCTAATTGATCTCTTTATCTCTAAGTTGAAATGATGATCCCTCTTCCAGTTGTGACCTCTTGATTCAGTTTTCCTCTCTACTGTTCCCTCTTATTCACCGTTTCTCTTTATGGTTCTTGAATGGACCTCGAAGATGTAAGCCAGAATTTGAATGTTGGTACCATTACTGAAGACCTGAATGATTTTTTTCCTCTCACTATTACTCAGTTGAGAAGACAGTGGAGCTGACACAAAACGATTTTCACCCGTTCTCTTTCTACCTGAATAACTCAAAGAGTTTTTCAGTGATTCTTATGACAAATGATGTCAAGATGTCTATCTGAAAACCTAAAGAAAAGAAACTCAATTAGTTTCGTGTTTTTTGTTGTCTTTTTTTGTTTTGTTTTGTTTTGTTTTTTTTTTTTTGTCTTTTGTGGGATGGACAATTTTGCTGTTACACTCGGATAGATAGATAGATAGATAGATAGATAGATAGATAGATAGATAGATAGATAGATAGATAGATAATGAAGGGAGGGTTGTCAATAGATGATGAAAAGACTGAGATAGATAGATAGATAGATAGATAGATAGATAGATAGATAGATAGATAGATAGATAGATAGGAACAAACTGATAGAGAGAGAGATGGGAACAGACTGATAGATAGATAGATAGATAGATAGATAGATAGATAGATAGATAGATAGATAGGAACAAACTGATAGAGAGAGATGGAAACAGACTGAGAGAGAGAAAGAGATAGATAGATAGATAGATAGATAGATAGATAGATAGATAGATAGATAGATAGATAGATAGATCAAGAAAGCGGGGAGAGAGAAGAATTTACGAACGCATTCTGTCCAAATGGGAAGGTAAAAAATGTGATCTACCAAACCCCCGGTGTATGAAACAGGTGTGTGTATTCGGGGCATGAGTCATATTCTCCATAACTTCTTAGGATCGGCCATTCATTTGATGTTTCTAAAAATATCTATTATATCGCCATAAACGCAAATTGATTTAAACCAGAATTTCAGTGCCTAGATATGTAGATCACGGTCCTCATGACAGTTTCAAGGAAATCCTTAACATTTTATAACCAAATGACAAAATACTTTATGCCTATTTACACTATTTACATTGTTCGGACTGTTGTCCTCATCTTTGTCCTTGAGGACACGCGTCCCAGTGGATAAAGGCGTTGGTTGGATCCAGTGACTTGACCAAAAGAGTTGTGATTTCAGTACCTGGCTACTGCAGTGGTGAACAAAAACTTAGAGAGTTGAGTTAAAGGAAGAGATATGGCAGGTGAAACTAGAAAAATCTACTAGGGTGGACGAAATAAAGGGTTCAGTTCGAAATTCCAAATACCTGAATAAGGCCGGGCGTACAACGATCGAAACGTCGTGAATATGGTAGTAAAGATGAATACAACAGTCCGAACAATGTAAATAGTGTAAATAATTGCAATACCTCATCACAGAAATATAAACAGGTATTTTATGTCTGTATTTCTGAGATAAGGACTTATCATCACACTTAATTTTATTCGAATTGTTATACTGAATAATTAACCAGTTATCTCCCTTGGCATTTACAACGGGACGATTACAATCTTTCCCCGTATATTAGAGAGCATATCAATGTAAAATATGTTTTTGTTTTTTGGAGTTTTTTTTTGTTTTTGTTTTTTGTTTTGTTTTTTGTTTGTTTTTTTGTTTTTTTGGGGGGCGGGTATTTATTTTTTAATTTGTTTTTAAAAATATCCTGATGCCATTTCTGACCTTAAGTCTCTGGTCAGGACCAGAAACGAAATGAGTACACACCAGAAATCAAAACTAATAATAATAATAATAATAGTAATATCCTTATAGACATGACAGTCCCTACAGACTGCAGTGTATCTTTGAAGATCTTCAAAAAACTATCAAAATACCTGGAAATCGAAATCTGAAAAATGTAGTACATGAGGACATTAGCAAATCCAGTTGTAGTTGGATCCCTCGGATTGATTGGAAAAGATTCCAATAGACTCATTGAAGGAATCCCTGGTAGACCATGCCTTAAAGAAATACAAAATATTATACTCACAATTACAGCCCCCATCTTACGAAGGGTTTTATCTATGCAAAATATGTGCGATTTTTTTTTTTTTTTTTTTTGATAACTGCTCAGTGGAAAATGTCATGATGTCATTTGTGATCTTAGGTCTCTGGTCGGGACCCGGAAAGAAATGAGCACACACCAGAAACCAGAGGAAATAATAATAATATATATAAAATATTTGACAATCTTTTCCTGGAGTAGTCAAGCTTTGTGAAACTGTTCTGCACATGACCCTCACTTGCACGATAAATTTGAATTGCAGTGTTTAAAAAAATATGAGAATGTCGCCAACAGAATCTTGTCTACGATATTGACAACATCTCGTTTCTTGATAGAACTTCTCTCAAAACGACTATTTTTTTCACGCACTCTCTATCAGATACACACGCACACACAAACACGCAGACAAAAACAACCACACATACAGCCACATGCACACAGAAACACGTGTATATACGCTTTTTTCGGCCTGTCCCTCTTTTCATGTTGGATCATATGATCAGATTTTGCGCCGAGGCTTTAAGCACTCTTTCGTACATTATTTACATTATTCGGACTATTGTCCTCATCTTTGTCGCCATATTTATTACAACGTTTCGGCCGTTGTACGCTCCGGCCTTTATTTCGCTCACTGGGGTAGACTGCTCTAGTTCCACGTGCCGTGTTTAATGGATGTCACTTATCAGTTATCTCCTGTTAATTTCCCTCTCAAAGTTCTCCACTGCCTCAACCGGGTATTGAACTCACACTCTTTAAGTCCTGTCACTGGATCTAACCAATGCCTTTATCCACTGTGCCATGTGTCCTTGAGGAAGAAGGCCGGAGCGTACAACGGCCGAAACGTTGTAATAAATATGGTGACAAGGATGAGGACAATAGTCCGAATAATGTAAATAATTTACATAATACCTCATCTCAGAAATATAGACAGGCACCCTTTCGTGATGCTAAAAAGAGCATTCACAAGGTTCACTGGTTTAGGTTTGTTTGTTTAGCGGCATGTCAACATCCTTATGAGTCATTTAATGCTGAAATTTAATTTTCTTGGGAGCATTAGTAATCCCATTTACAAAAATGTATTGCTGGTAATTGTTTTTCCAAAAATGTATGACTGGTATTTTACTATGAAAATGTATTTTTAGACCGTCATGATGTTTTGACCCTATTTGCCTTTAGCTAGGTTCCTAGCAGGTGCTACCACCCTGAAAAGTTGAGAGAAAAATGAAATTAAAAGCAAACGTTGAAGATTTACTTCTCTACATAAACCCCATTGAAACACCGCTTCTCGTACGATCACAGAAGTTAAGCAACGTCTGGCCTGGTCAGTACCTAGATGGGCGACCCTTTGGGAATACCAGGTGTTGTAAGAAGTGGGTGGTTTAATAGATAACGATTCGGAATTGGAAATCGGCGATTCGAGTTCTAATTCCTGTCTGGTTCCTTCTATTCACTAACGCGCAAATATCATTGGAAAATGTTCACCACCACCCACCCACCCAATGGGGTAAATTCGCAAAATCTGTATCAGTAAATCATTATTATCTCCTAAATTTCCTTCAATCTAAAAATATTTTGGGCTTTAAATAATCTGCAAATGGTTCATAAGCCGTCAAAAACAAGACAAATGTTAGAAGGTACTCAATCAATAATGCAAGACGGGGGCTTTTTAATTCGTCCTCTTCATGCCCTGCCTCATGCTTTTCTTTTTCTTTTTTTTTTTTTCTTTTTTTGTAAATGAATTCTCTATTTGTGAGTTGTTGCTTTAACAGGGAAATTATCTTCAAAACCTTTTTCTCGAAGCACCAACAATGTCCTCAGTTTTCCAAGATTCACCATACATTTAATGTTACTTCTGGCCTAAATCTGGACAGAATTCATGTTGCCCAAAAGAGAGTTGTTATTAAAATGGCACAGACTTCAGTTTCTTACCTCGAAATAGTCCGGCTTCACAAAAGGTAAGTCTGTAAACGTAACGGAATTCCAAATCAATTGTTGGATTTCCATATTAGGCTTTTTCTCTCTACGGTAGCTAATAACAACGATGAGAACGCAAACATAATCAATAGCATTAATAATTTTTATAAAAATCAGATGAATGATAATTACAAACATGATGAAATTAGACTTAAGAACATTATAAAATAATGCACAACACCAGTAGACAAGAACAAAAAATTAGACTAATTATTTATTACAAAAAATTTAAAACTGCCTATCCTATAGTTAAAAATAACAATTCAACTCTTAGATCAAAATGAAATAGAACAAATATATTTATGAATTTAAATGTCCATTAAGGAATTGATTTCCTGATCAATCAAAATTCGTAAACAATTATATTGGCCACGCCATGACATGTTTAACAAGAAGACTCACACTACATCTTTCTGACTATAGCTCAATTAGATGTTATTTAAATATTCATGGAGACCTACTGGACCCAATTCACAACATACTTGTTGATAATACAAATATAACAGCATCGTCTACATGTAAAAAAAAAGGCTACAAATAATGGAAGCCTTATTAATAAAAACAAAAAAATACACTCAATAATATCAACTCTGAACATGGACACAATATATTGACTGTGTTTTGAAAATAAAACCTTCTATAATGCTAAACACATACATACAACAATCCATTTCAAGTTAACAATAAATATATTTCATTCTTGATAATGGCTAAAGGTATAGCCGAAAGCGTTTTGAAAAATAAAACATTTGGACAGTTTTGTATAATTTATCTACTGAAAAGAAAACATTATAAAATTATATGAGAAATTATATAAAAAACCTAATCAAAGGACCTTGTCTGTCATATTTAATGAAGCCTGCATGAAAGAAGGATTGCTGCCTAAATACACTATATATATATATATATATATATATATATATATATATATATATATATATATATTGGTGGAAAATGTTTTCATGTGACGCGTTTCGTCCTTTAGAACATCATCAGACTAAATTTGTTATGTTGGTGCGACTACACAAGCAAACGAACGAGGAATACTGAGACTTTCAAGCTTCTTCGGTACCCTAATTATTTTATATTCAATGCAAAACAAAAGGCTCATAAAATAATCCAAAATAGAAAAAAGTCCCACCTGACAAACCGAATGAATCAAAAAATATATTATCCTAACTCTAACACAACTTAAATTGAAAAGAATTTATCTAAACTCAATATAAAATGTGTTACTACTTAATCTAAAACAAGAAAAAACTTAATCAATACGAAACAAAACAATAAGCTAAAACTTGAAGGAAGAATTTGTTCTATCACCTGTAATAATTGCCACAAAAATACATAGGAGAAACCTCAAGGAATCTAAATAAAAGATGATATGAACACAAAAGGAACATTTTACAAAACTATGCATCAAATGTGTTTGTTGTTTACTGTAAGGAGACTGACGAAAATTTTGACATAAAAAAATGCTACTCTGATCAAAGTAGAAAACAATTCACTAAGATGAAAATGTTTAGAGAATGCTTTGATCGCGAGGTCATACACAGTAATTTTGTGCCCGGGCTTTTACAAGATTTCACCTTTCCTGGCAGATCTATTACCACAGTGTAAGATATCTCGTAAGAAAATTGATGAAAAAAAAAGAATCTAAATAGAATATGCCAGATTATATTAAAAAAATAAATAAATTTAAAATTCCCAGCATCCCTTGTTCGTGCGCATGTGTAGTCGCACCAACGTAGCAAATTTAATCCAATGAAGTCCTAAAGGACGAAACGCATCACACATAAACATTTTTCCACTTTTGTCATATATTTTTCCCCAATATTGTTCTTGATACACAAAAATTTATATATCGTTATCGCATATGTGTATGTGTGTATGTATGTATGTATGTGTGTGTGTGTGTATGTGTGTGTGTGTGTGTGTGTGTGTGTGTGTGTGTGTGTGTGTGTGTGTGTGTGTGTGTGTGTGTGTGTGTGTGTGTGTGTGTGTGTGTGTGTGTGTATGTGTGTGTGTGTGTGTATGTGTGTGTGTGTGACGATTTTTTTATTCTAACACCTATCTTTCTTTGTATCAAATTCTACCTCTCCTTGTAACTTCCATTTTTTCAATTCTCCCTCCCTCTTTTTTACTCGTATTTCCCTTTCTCTCTTTTTCCTCTTTTTTTTTTTTTTTTCTCCAGCCATATTTCTGTAATCTTTGCCTTCAATTAAATAACAACATATGCACCGTCCGTTAAAAAAAAAAATTAAGAGTTTATAATTTCATTAATTTCTTCAGAATGTGGATCTCGTTTCATGCATGTTCCCGGGCCTGCAGTCGGCCATAAATTCCTATGGGACAATCAAATAAGCTCAGTAAACATTTAACTTTAATAAGAGCCATATTGTCGAGGAAACCTGCGCCAAAATGGCGTTCACTGCTGACATGTTCCAACTGACGTCAAACTGCAAGCAAAAAAAAAAAATAGTGCCGCGGAATAGAAACATTCTTCAAATTAGGGACTTTGGCGGAAGTCAAGTTTGATTTAAAAAAAAAAAAAAGTGGCGGAGGGAGATAAACATGTTGAAAAAAACTAAAAAAAAGAAAAAGGTATTAGGTTGGTGCAAAAATAATGACGTAATAATGTCGTTTTTGGACGTATTTTTTAACGTCAAAAAACGACATCATTACGTCATTATTTTTGCACCAACCTAATAAAAAAAATGAAATGCATAAAATACGAAAGGAATTTTTCAGATCGTAAAAAAGAAGGAAATGAATGAAAGCTTAGAAGAAAGAGAAGGAGAAATTAAGAAAATCCTGCAACCTGTCGAGTCAGAGGCATATAAGTATGAGGCGCCCGCCTATTTTATCAGGGCATTAAAAACTATTTCTTCCGCGGAGAAAAATAAAGATAATAATATTGCTACACAGCCATATACGCAGGATACAAGCTCATGAGTGCCACAGTAATATTTCGATATATATAGTTTCATATTGAACCAAAAGATACACGACATGGATTCGTGTTCGTTTACACACACACACACACACACACACACACACACATGGACAAAGACCCACGCTCATTATATGTATCCATATATGTATGCGCGTTTGTAGTAGGGCTAATATTATCCGAAACAAAAGTGGACATAATGGGACAAAGTGAAAAAGTTTTTCAACGACGCGTTTCGCCAACGTGTGTTAGGTTCGGCTTTTTCAGGTTGGAACGAAAGATAAACCTATGTGTAAGGATAAAGCGTTGGTATTTTTCAGGACAAGAGGGACAATAAATTAATTTGCCTTATCAGATCCGACGAGAAGAGATCAGAAAGTGTTTGTTTATTTTTGTTTTTGTTTTTGTTTAAAATATATATATATATATATATATATATAGATAGATATATATATATATATATATATATATATATATATATATATATATAGATATAGATATATATATAAAGAAAAAGAGAGAGAGTTATTGGTGTCTGTTTAATTTTGAGCCAACCCACTCTGAGTAGGTTTCCGTTTTCTCTCTATATGCTAGCATATATATATATATATATATATATATATATATATATATATATATATATATATAGCATATATATACGTGGTGTATATGCTAATATATATATATATATATATATACTAACATATATATACTAGAACATTAGTATATATATATATTATATGTATATATATATATATACTAGCATATATATACGTGCTATATATATGCTAGTATATATATATATATATATATATATATGGAGCATGTTACTCAACTGCTTTCTCGAGAGCCTGTACTTTATAATGCTCCATAAGTTTTCTATGGGGTTGAGGTCAGGACATTGGGGTGACCATGTCATAACACTCACCTGCTTCTCATCAAAGTATTCCTTCATCAATTTTGATTTGTGACAGGGAACATTATCCTGCATAAAAATGAGCTTGGTGGGGTCGATTTGTACTCTTTCAGTTGAAGGGAGCAATTAGAGTACGCGGGAAGGTCTAGATTAGATTCCACGGGACGGTCTGGATTAACGTGCGCGTGTAGGTCTAAATTAGAGTCCGCGGGAATGTCTGTATTAAAGTACGTGTCAATGCCTTGACGAGTACGTGGGAAGGTTTGGTCGCTTTGGGCCCTGTCACTGGATCTAACTAACGCTTTTATCCACTGTGCCATGTATCCTTGAGGACATCTGTGTTTGAATTTCTGGGTATTATAAACTTATGTCTTCAGCAACCATTTTTTTTACCAGTACTCATATTGCAATTTTTGCTGTTATCATTGCATGCCTTTTACCAGAGCTCATATTGCAATTTTTGTTGTTATTATCGTTTTTCTCTGGCACTCCCTATTACTGGTTCCCATATTGTATTCATTTCTATGCTTGGTCGGCACAGTGGATAAAGGCGTTAGTCAGATCCAGGGACAGGACCCAAAGAGTGTGAGTTCAATACCCGGTTAAGGCAGTGGATAACTTGAGAATTAATTGGGAAATTAACAGAAGGTAACTGACAATTGACATCCATTAAAACATGGCACTTGGAACTAGAACAGTCTACCCCCAGTAAGCAAAATAAAGGGTTCAGTTCGACATTCCAAGGCCGTAGCGTACAACGGCTGAAACGTTGTAATAAATATGGCGACAAAGATGAGGACAATAGTCCGAATAATGTAAATAGTATACATAATACGTCATCTCAGAAATATAGACAGATTTAATACACCTCTTCATCTATGAGGAAATTTTCCTGCATTCGCTACAATATAGGTGGAGTGATATTATATGAGTTCTCAATAACTAGAATAACGTTCACATGACAACAGATACTTTCAAAGCTCAGAATTCAATATTATGCCAAAAATGCAAACTAACACACTGACTTTGAATTTCATTTCATTTCTTTTTTTCGTGATAATGACTACAACCTGCTGTCGAAACCTTAACATGAACTAACACGAACTGTGGACAGTTTCTTTAGACATTCAACTGCAAGAGGCGGAAATTAATCGGCTTACAAGTGAGAGTTATTAACAATAAAATTGACATAATCTGTCTGTTGTCGTTAACAAAACCTGTTTGAATAAACATTTACCTAGATACATCCAGATATAAAGCAAACAGATAGAGACAGGGGATGGGTGGATAGATAGACAAATAGATAGACAGAGAGAGAGAGAAAAAGGATAGATAGATAGATAGATAGATAGATAGATAGATAGATAGATAGATAGATAGATGGGATGGATGGACTGACAGACAGATAGAGGGAAAGAGAGAGGATGAATAGATAGACAGATAGATAGACAGAGAGAGAAAGGGTGGATAGACAGATAGAGAGAGAGGGGTGGATAGATAGACAGATAGAGTGAGAAAAGATGGATAGATAGACAGATATATAGAGTGATAGAAAGAAAGGTAAACAGATAGATAGACAGAGAGAAATAGGATGGATAGACACACAGACAGATAGACAGAGAGAAGGTGAATAGACAGATAGAGAGACACAGAGAGAGAGAGAGGATGGATAGATAAACAGATAGACAAAAAAAATAAAATAATAATAATAATTATACGAATGGATGTAAAGGTGGCGTAAATTTAATATTATTTTTTTTCCTCCCACAACTTCCTTTTATTGTACATTTTTCTGTGTTAATTTTAAATTAAATCTCCCGTTGAAGCCTGAAGAGCGGGAGCGAAACCGGTTGTTTTCGCCCGTTTTAATATGTCTCGTAATATTAAGTTTTATACTTTTATTTCGATCATTAAATTTTGTACCTACAAAAAATATCTTTAAATATATATATATATATATATATATATATATATATATATATATTTCTTTAACGTTACTCTCAGTGGATATCCGTATTTAAGTAGAGGTACGGTTTTATTTTCTAATATATAATTATTTACCCGCTGCCCCACGCAGCAAGATGTGGCACAAGGCCGAGTTTAAAGTGTGGGTATCCGAGCCCGTAGGCTCGGGCAAAAATTCCCTAGAGACCTCGTAAAAACAGAGTCAGTTTCCCGGGACGAGACTCCGCCCCTCGGCAAAGCCTCGTCTGGAGGATACCCTCTGACATAAGCCAGGTAAGTATTTTGTAATGTATTTATTTATTCCAAAATAAAACATTGCGCCTATTCAAATAAAGGGAATCCACTCAAAATAAAATTTGAAGTAAATATATATATATATATATATATATATATATATATATATATATATAAGACTTTAAATAACGTTTGATGTAATGAAAATATGTTGGATTATAGAATAAAATAAAATCAATTACTTGTTTTATATATATATATATATATATATATATATATATACACACTAATAATAAATATACTCCTTTTTCTCATCGATAGCATGCTCAACGCAACCTTCAGGTGTCGAATTAAAACTGACCATTATATAATTATCATATATATACCGGATTATCGTAATAATGGAGCAGTCCATATTATTTACAGGGTTTATTTAAAAAATATACTAAATACATCTACTCAACTTATATACCTTCAACTAGAAAAATAGAATTATAATTACACATCTAAGTAATTATAAATATAATACAAAATACACACAAATATGGCATATTTACATATGCAATTATATATATATATATATATATATATATATATATATATATATATAGATATATATAGATATATAAGCAGATGTATAGTTTAAAGGTGTGCTATATTTATGGGATAAAGTGCTCAATATCAGAGATAGAGCGTGTGTTAATATAAAAGTGAACATTGAAGTCAACACTTAGAGGCGACAGTCTGTTTCATGCTATAATCCATAGTCAGGTATACACACACAGACACACACACACACACTACAGTTCAAAAGTTACCTATGGTATTTTTTTTTAAATTGGTCCTAAATTACTCGTTTTGAACTTTGAATGAGAGAAAATTATTATACATGGTTAAAATAAGTGAGACATGAGTTTTTATTACAAATTTTATAATGACAAAAAAAAAAGCATTATGTGATTAAATTTTGCTCTCGTCAAAATATCCTCTTTTATTCTTGATTTTTGCAGCACAAATTTTTGATATTCGTTGCAAATTTTTCTCAAAATATATGTTTGATAATTGATTCCATTCTTTTTTCAATGAATCTAAGAGAACTTTTTCATTTTTTTTTTTTTTTTCACTCTTCTGTCAAGTTCATCCCATGCTAATTCTGGGGGTCGCTTCAAACCTTTGAACTGTAGTGTACATATGGTTATACATAATATTACCATATTTACAAAAAATAAAAGATTATGTTTGTATCTAACTACATATCACTGTGGCACCATGCATAGTTAGAAAGCTGAAAAGAAATATTCATAAATATATGATTTGTTTTTTACGATTTGTCAACCATTTGATAATTATTTAGAGCTGAAAAATTTTTGAGAATAATTCTTTAATTGCGTTCAAGCGATCTGGGAGAAAGAAAGAAAAGAAGAAGATAAAGAAAGAAAAAAGAAAAATATAATACGAAAACCCGGTCATAAGCGAATAAACACACGCTCGATTGATACATAACAGATGTTGGTCAAGCACCTGACCTACTTCCGTGTCCACGAAAAATGAAAGTTTGTTATCAATTTGGTTGAAGAAATAAAGTTTAGAGACAATGGAAAAAATATGATAGGTAACAGGTGGGGAGTTTATCTAAGGATATACAGGCAAACCATTAATACGAAAACCCAGACAATCCCAGAATTGAAAATGGAGCCACACAAGGTGATGTTAGAGAATGCTTTTTTTGAGATAATTAAGATTTTGTTATCAAGCTCCGAGCGAAAAAAAAAAAGTGAAATATTTTTATTAGTTCACGAAAACGCCACCCAGTCTGGGAAATCCCTTTCTTAGATCGTATCCAATTAGCGATAAACTGTTTGACAAATACCGCGTGTAAAAGAAACCGAGAGCGTCATTTCGGTCACGTACGAAAAGGGCAATTTAAATTTTTGTTTCTTTAAGCAGGGTGTTTTTCCCCCAGAACAAATCCACGGATTGTCCACGCCCGATTAAAGACGTCACGAAGGAAGGAGGAAAGATACCGACCAGAACCTCATTGGCCGAAGGCGGTCACATGATACATGAAGGAGGAGGAAAGACACCCGACCAGGACCCCATTGGCCGAGAGCGGTCACATGACGTGCGAGGGAGGAGGAAAGATGCCCGACCAGGACCCCATTGGCCGAGAGCGGTCACATGACATACGAAGGAGCGGGGAAGCGGGTATACGCCCCCAGAGGCACAGTAAGGGAGTAGGAGTGAAAGTAAGTTACCGAAAATGGAAAATCCCTAATCAGAAATAAGAAGGGTGGATACGTATTTAGAATTATCAAGAAAACCCTGGCGCCGACAGACCCACCCCAGTTTTGACTGCGTCAATAAAAGCGAGACCCCAACCGACAGAAATCAGTTGCAGCGCGGACGGCGAGAGAGAGTTGCGCCGCGGACGGCGAGGGAGTTTGAGCGCGGACGGCGGGCTCGGTTCATTCGCCCCTTTGCGGGCAAGAAAGGCCGGTCCGTTTGACCTAAGAAGAGAAGTTCGTCCAACCCAAGCCGAAGTGAATAAGCTCGTCCAACCGGAGCCGAAGAGAAGAAGTTAATTCGCGCACTGACGGCGGAGATGAGTGAACAGTAATTCAGACTCTGAAGAGAAGAAGTTAATTCGCGCACTGACGGCGGAGATGAGTGAACAGTAATTCAGACTCTGAAGAGAAGAAGTTAATTCGCGCACTGACGGCGGAGATGAGTGAACAGTAATTCAGACTCTGAAGAGAAGAGTTTGCGCCGCGGACGGCGAGAGAGATCAGCCGTGAACGACAAGCAGAGATCAGCGCCCAGTGTTGAAACCAAACCACACCCCGAAATTCTAGAGAGCAGGCAACTCGAAGCCTTAAAGTTGCCTGGTAGAAGCGTGGTGCCACAGTCCACAGAACGGGTCGGGAGGTAGGAATAATCTTGTGTAACGAGCAATTAGATATAAAAAGTTGTTACCTTTTTCTTCAATATTTTTGATCTTGTGAGTTTTTTTTTTTGTGTGTTATCACCCCGTTGGACTCAGCTTGCATACGGCCCAATCCCTGTTTGATCCCGTCTGTCTAAGATCTAATCACAACGTGGGTAGGCAGACCGGAAATCAGTGCAGTTACCCTGGTAACCAGGCGTTGGAAGCGGGTTGTGAACGACGAGGCTGGTATTCATCTAACCAAAGGGTTAGAACGTCACACTTGGAGCAGCGAGGAGCGAACAGCTGGCGTCGCGAACGGGATCGAACGACACAGTCGACGCTGCGACCAGGGGGGGACGACGTCACAACTGGTGCCGTGACCATAGGATCACAACCCTGGACCACGTCACGTCACATCACCATGCTCGATACAATACTCATATGAAAAAAAAATTAATTTATATATATATATGTATGTGTATATATATATATATATATATATATATATATATGTACACACACACTTATATATATATATACTAATTTCAGGTAGAGCTAACAAATATAACATCACATATACACTTATATACACACTTAAGACTATTATAGTCATACATATACACCCTATTTATCTAAAAAAAACAAAGGATCCATACTTAAAATACACATTGTTACTAATATGTGTATATACTTTTTTTATATATATATATATATATATATATATATATATATATATATATATATACATACACACACACACACACACACATACATACATATATATATATATATATATATATATATATATATATATATATATATATATATATTTGGGGTATGTGCGTCTCTGTGCATGCCTGTATTTCATTGAAGACGACTGACAAGACACTAAGTTTAAGTTTTTCATTATATTTTTTTGCATTCGTACAAGAGGTGATTTTTTTTGGGACAGTGTAAAAACTGTCCAAATGATCTGTGGATCGGGCGCTTTCGGATATATATATATATATATATATATATATATATATATAGTATATTTATAGTCCCACGTCCAAATTTATGTATGTAGTTTTACATAATATAATACATACATATATGCAGACATCGTTTATTTCTTAAGAAAGAAGCAAGTTTTAAAAAAAAGATTATGAAATAGCTGTAACATCTGAATACCGATGAATACAATGCATTGAGTAGAAAGATAACTTTGAATTCAAATCAAACCCTTATTCCGTTGTAGGTTGACTAGGAAAATACAACTTCAATGTAGTGCCATCTAGCATAGTTAAGCTCGATATATTGATTCGGCTTGTCCTTTTGTATGAGATAATCTTTGCAATGTTGTAAAAGTTGAATACAAATTTTGCCCGGGTATTTCTAACATGCGCGATTTAATGCGTGAGAAATAGCCATGCTTTACTAACGAGTCAGCAGTTATCAGGTTCAAGCACGTATGTATTTCCGAAGATGACGAGACAGGTAGATAGATAGATAGAGAGAGAGAGAGAGAGAGAGTGTGAGAGAGAGAAAGAAATGAAGAGATAGATAGATAGATAGATAGATAGATAGATAGATAGATAGATAGATAGGGAACTGAAGACACTGATGGATATAGAAAGGAAAAAATGAAAAGAGTGATAGATAGATAGATAGAAAGAAATGAAGAGATAGAGTGAGAAAAAGAAAGAAATGAAGATACTGATAGATAGATAGATAGATAGATAGATAGAAAGAAAAGAAATGAAGAGATAGATAAATTGATAGATATAAGTGTGTGTGTGTGTGTGTGTGTGTGTGTGTGTGTGTGTGTGTGTGTGTGTAGTTTGTTTGTTCTTTCGAGTCCCCACATTTACAGAACTGTGCAAGGTATTAAATAAGGTCTATACAAAACGCAAAGAATTGTCCCTCTTTTAGCACCGTGGATACGCAGATGCCGACCAACTACCAGATAAATTTGACTCCAAGTTTCTTTCTTCAGACCCTGCCAACACCCAATTCAAGATCTCTTCCTGAATAGTAATTGTAATGGCCCCAAGTCAACCAATTTAGTTCACCAAAACTAGCGACCTTCTTTTCTTTTCTTTTTATTTATTTTTTTGTTTTTTGTTTCCTTAGGTTTATTTTTAGCTTTGGTCGTTTGCTGACCGTTATTACATGCTAAATTCTGTCACTTACTTGCAATCTGCTAGGCGGGCCAGAATACAAGTAATTAGGAGCAAGAAAAGGTCTCCACCATTTTTTCAAGAAAATTGCTTCCTTTTCCGGCAGACGATTGTAAAGGCAAGCGACCTCTCAACCCAAATCGGTATATGCCGTTTACAAGTGGAGCTCTCCTGCTTGAGGGTTTGAACGCGTCTTCCTCTCTTCTTTTTCTTCATTTACTTCTTCTTCTTTCTTCTTCTTCTTCTTCTTTTTCTTCTTCTTCTTCTTCTTCTTCTTCTTCTTTCTTCTTCTTCCTCTTCTTCTTCTTCACTTCTTCTTCTTCTTTCTTCTTCTTCTTCTTCTTTCTTCTTCATTTCTTTTTTCTTTGTTTATTTCTTATCGGGTTTATTATTTTCTTTATTTCTTTTTTTTTGTTTTCTTCCTTATGGTCTTTCTTTTTTTCTATTTGTTCGACTGGGGAAATCTTCCCATATCTTTATTCTTGATTCATTTTTTCGTTCTCCTTTCTGTGTTCATTCTTTTATTTTTCTTCTTTCGTATTTTTCTTTTCTTTTTTTCTTCATGTTCGTTTTCCTTCCCAGGTTCTGTTTTCATGCAAAAAGTTTTATTCTGTCAATGGGTTTGTGAAAACGTTTTCTTTTTGTTAAGTGTTTCTCTTACAAGAACGTGTTGAGAAACTCTCTACATACAAAAATCCGATAAAATGGCAAAGCCCAAAATGGATATTTCTTTTTTTGCGTTTTTCTTTTCTTATCCTTTCTTGGTCAGACCGAGAACTTTTCAGCAACACATTTTTCTTTACTTTGCATGTCTTCCTGTTTTTTTTTTTTTTTTGTTTTTTTGTTGTTTTTTTTTTTCGTTGTTACTTTCTTTGTTTGGTTTCATTTGTTTTTCTTTCTTTTGTCTTTCTTTTGTTTTTGTTTTTTTCTCTTATATCTTTCATTTTTCCTTCTTTTTCTTTCATGTTAACATTCATTCTTTATTTATTTGATTTCTTTTTTCTTTTGTTTATTTCTTTTTTATTTCATTTGGTTATTTTTATTTTTATTTTCTTTCTTACGTGCTTTGTTTAACTCATTTTTATATCTTTCTTTCTTTCTTTCTTTCTTTCTTTCTTCTGTTTGTTTCTCTTTCTTTGTTTTCTTTCTTTTTTGTTTTGTTTTTTCATTTATTTCTGACATGTCTTTAATTTCTTTATTGCTTTATTTTCGCTTATTTCTTTCGTTTTTTTTTTTTTTTTGTTAGTTCCTTAATGTTTCTTCCTTTTTTTTTTTTTCCACTAACATATTACATATTTTTTATTAAGTTGAATTAATTAAACCACAATGATAGATTCTGAGATTGCTTAACAATGGAGAAAACCAGCCTGTAATATAGACGAGCATTCTTAATCCTAATTTTTACTTGGAATTGAACACTGGTTGCTGGAGTAGATATGACGGATCTATTAACCTACTAAAAAGTTAGAGTTACCTATTATAATTAACTTTAGTCTGGCACAAAAATGCTTTGTTGCCACTTCTTCGGCAGCTCTTCGACTGCTTTTGAGTAAAATTTGATGTGAAAAGACTGTTAACGAACTCTTGAATCTGACTTTTCATGGAGAACGTTTTTCCCCATGAAAGCGTTTTACAGCGATCGAAAAAAAGTTAATAATTGGTTGGTGCAAAGGTCAGGTGAATATAGCAGATTATGCAGAACAGACCAACTGAATTCCGTTTATTTATTTATTTTATTTTTTTTATTTATGCTGTCATGCGTGGTGTTATGGAGGCGGGCATTTTCCTTTTATTCCACTGTGCACGCTGCATGTGCCGTGCAAATACTAATGTATCTTAGTGCACTTTAAATTTACTCTTAACTACCATGTATGATTAGCATTTGAGGCACGGTGAAGGAACCGGAGAGCCGAGTTCGAATTCCAGTCGGATCCATTACATTCATTTACGTGCTAATACTCTTGGTAAAGGTATGAATCTTCTTGCTCCCCCCCACACACCCAGCTATAGGTAAATAGCAGGACAGACTGGTTTCTATAGTCTTGGGTAGCAACCGATCTAGGAGAAGGTAACTCTGAATTCAAAACCGGCCTGGAGAGGGTTGATATCTGTCAGGCTATCTTGCCCACGAAACACAACTTCTACAGTGACTACAGTACATGTGGTGACCCGTTGATGGGTCACGGAATTTGTGATTGCGGTGATTAGCGGTTAGGATGGTACATTCGTTATTACAGTTGTCTCTGTATAGTATCTTTATTACTATAAAAGTCTGTGAACGTTGCTTATGTGTTTGCCAGAAGTCATATATAGAGAGTGGGTGAAAGAAAGATATGAATTTATTATCGTGTAGGAAGCGGGGGGGAGAGAAGGAAATGGCGAAAAACATCTCTCTCTCTCTCTCTCTCTCTCTCTCTCTCTCTCTCTCTCTCTCTTTCCACCTCTCTGTGATTGCGTGCGTGCTTATTTATATTTCAGCTTTCTTTAAACAAGAAATATTTTGAATATTTTTATTTTAATTTTCTTCAAACAGACAATTTTTTTAATGTTGAAAGCAACTTCAATAACTGCAAATAAATGTATTTTTAAAATATCTCTAGTTTCAGAAAACTCTTCATGAAACTAAATGTAAACAGTAACATAACAAGGTTGACTAAACAGGTCACAGATGGTCTAGCACCTTTTAAAGAGAAAAAGAAAATTCATTATTTTAAGTTTTCTTAGCAGTAAGGCTTAGTAAGATTGGCGCAACACAGTCTTACTGCTTGTATTTCCGTTAATTTTTTAACTATACTTAATTTAAGATATATCTATATTATGTTCATTTTAACCATTTCTAAACACACATATTCTATAACTATTCCATTTCTATCTAAATTTTCTTTCGATTTCTTTAATTTGTTTATTTTTCATTTTTATTTTTTGACCATTTCACTTTTCAAATGGTTATTTTCTAAGCATAGCTTAGATGTGGCACAAGGCCGAAAGTATGGGGCAACTAATGAGGATCGAACTCACTTTTTTTAACTGATCTAGTGAGACAAACTTTTAACCATTACACCACGTCGAGGTGTCTAAACATCAGTTTTTAAATGAGATTAAAAAAAAACAAACTCCAAAATGAGAAACTGTGAACGAAGAATTTTGTTCACGTTTAACAAAATTCGTAATAATATTTTTTTTAAATTAAAATTTTTTTTTTTAATTCAAAAATTTAAAATTAAAAATCCAAAAATCCAAAATTTTAAAAATTAAAAAAGAATTTTAAAAAATCAAAGAATTAAAAATTAATTTTAAAACGGCAAAATAAGCAGCTTGTAGCAAAGAATTAACTTCCATCAAAATTCAAAATCTCCCATTTCCACGCGAGCAGACTAAACCAGCAAGTTTATTAGCTTCTCTTACTAAACCTATCAACGTCATAATCAAATGAGCATTTTCATTGGAACTTTATTACTTTGGGCAAATTCCCCCTCCGCCACCCCACCCCCCTAAATAGTAGACGTACATACAAGAAAAATCTGGTATTTATTACCTACATCCTAAAAAAAAATCTTGGCTAATTGGCTTTGAGTTTTAACAGCAACTTAGAAATAAAAAGAAATAATTTTAACATCTTAAGATTTGCCGATTGCTAATTTCTTGTTCATTACGGAGGTCTGAACTTCGTATTCCATTTGTTAGGAGGAAGTTCCACTCAGACAGCTTGTTATAAGAAGTGCTACTTTATGTATGAATTTTATATTGGGTGCTTCCCCAAATACTAAATGCTTTAACCTCTTTAAGTTCAGGGTCAGTCGTTATCTATTCTTTATAATCTTCATTTTTTACTTCTTCCTCTTACGTCCGCGCCACTTTCTTCATTCAGTAACCCTCTATCTTGAGTGGCTCTCGAATTTTGTCTTTGGAGAACATTAGTCAAAACAAAAATTATTTTAAAAAAAATGATTTTGATTTGTTTTAAATATTCACATCTTCACTTAATGAAAGGTGTCATGGCCTCTACTGCAAACAAATACTGATTTAAAAAAAAATAGACCCAAACCATAAAATTATTTAAAATGCAGGTATAACTATTTACTACTACAGAACTTAGTCTGGCACAAGGATAAATCGATGGAAAATGAGTGATCGGATCAATTTCCAAGTGAGTAGAGTCTGCCTGCTTTAGGCAATACTCGAACTCCGATCAATGACGTCAGATGCAACTATCTCAATCACGAAGCCTTTACAAATAAAAATTAAGAAAAAATACAGCTTTTTAAACAGTTACCATTACGCCACCCAATGAATGGGTGGCGTAATGGTTATAAGAAATCGGTGTAACAAGTTCAAATTCCAGTCAAGTCTGCCTCCGCTTCCTTTTGCACAAATGCTCTTGGAAAGACACGAATCCATCTCTGCTCCCTACCCATGGGTTAAATAACAGAGTAGACTTTTGTTAATAGCCAGATTAAAAGAAGACAACTCAATTTCAAAACTGTGGCGAAGACAAAGGGAAAATACTCTATTATCTTTCCCTATAGGTCACGACAATTCACAGGTATTTTTTTTTAATCATTTCACTCCCCACACCAAGCAAAGCAATACTGCCACTAGAGCACAGGGCGTTACAGGGAGTGAAAGAGAATGAGGAGGCTTTAATGTCGAGGATTGAGGAAAGGAAAAGGAAGGAAGAAGAAGACAGGAGATGGCGATTGACGTCGTATTTAAATTTTTGAAGATTATAGTTATCAGATTTGGTTTGGTTTGTTTTACGGTTTATCAAGCTCAATGGGTTATTTAATGCCGACAAGAGTTTTATTACTGGTAATATTTTTTTTTCAAAAATGTATAGCTGTTAATATTTTCATTATTTACATTATTCGGACTATTGTCCTCATTTTTGTCGCCATATTTATCACAACGTTTAGGTGGTTGGAATGTCGAACTGAACCCTTTATTTCGATCACTGGGGTAGACTGTTCTAATTCCACGTGCCATGTTTGATGGATGTCAGTTATCAGTTATCTCCTGCTAATTTCCCTCTCCAAGTTCTCCACTGTCTTAACTGGGCGTTGGTTAGATCCAGTGACAGGTCCCAAAGAGTGTGAGTTCAATACCCGGTCAAGAGAATTAGAACGAAATGAATGCAAGAGGCCCGGCCGATATTTGAACTCGGACTGCCGATTCCATCAAAAATGGAACTTAAAATGAAAAAAGTTGCTGCGAATATTTCGTATTTCCAGTTGACGCCAGTGGTCGGTGTTTGAGTCCCGGTAAAATTTGTAATTTTAAATACTGATTTTCGAAGCAAATATACTTTTTCCCAACTTGCCCGCAAGACATATCCAACTATCTCGCCCAACAAGATTGGTAATTGTAATCTTAATGTCATAAAAGCATAATTCATTTTTTTTTATATATTGTCCTAAGAGATGCCATAAAATGGAAATTCCCCAGCATGACAGCCCGGCATATCTAATAGGTCATGGGAAACATCCACACGATAACAGTATAATCTAAATATATGTCACAAGAGGTTGACTCATGTCAGCTTGTAATTACAGAATAATTTTTCATATATATCCACTGGTGTCACCTTTAAGTTGACCATATTTTATCGATAAAGAATTTTCATTGTGGATTTGGCTACTTTTTGGGGACAATATATAAAGAATCTTACAGAGGAAGTGAAGAGTGTCTTGGATAATTCTTTGATAATTCCCAGATAGTTCTCACTAGAATCAGTTACTGAGTATCCCCAAGACTTACTACAAATTGATATATAAAATTGGCGATGAAAAACCTCAACAATTCAACAGGAATAAAGGTCTTTACACTTCCTATAAAACCACAATGGAATACAAAATATTTACTACTGTTTTTTATCGCAACGATCAAGTCGTTCTTACGTTCTACGACCGTTGAGCAATATAGAACTAGCCTCGGGCGCAATTTAAACTCACGCCGTATGTCATTGGTTATCCATCTGACATGGATAATGTCTAACAAATTCAACGCCGGAAAGTTTTCAACAGGCGTAATTCAAATTTAGTCATACCTTGGGAAAGGTATCAATCTTTCTTTCTCCTCTAGGTTAAATAGTAAGGAAGACTAGGATCTCTAGCCTTGAGTGGCAACAAATTGATGGTGAAACTCTGAATTCCAAACTATAGAGAAAATATCACACTATCTACCGAATGAAGTCATGGCAGATAATAAGGAAAAGAAATGTGTGGAGAAGAAAAGAGGAAAGCGCCCCATGATGTATCACATAAATTCACAACAGTTCACGGATAATAAAGATAAGTAATCTGTGGAGAAAACGACGCGAAACAACCCAACAATCTACAACACTGTTGAAGCTTGGATAAGCATGGAATAATAATAATACAACACAAAATGTACGTAAACAAAATGTATTGAAACAAGGAAAAAGGTACACAATATTTACAGTTAGTTTTGGTATATTCTTGGGAAGACGGTTCCTGTAGAATGGGTTGACTAAATCGCAGTCGGGCAGAGTCTCTCGATTCGATCTCTTCTTACTTCTTTTTTCGTCTTCCCGGTACCAACCCATATTTATATGGACGGTACTCCACTATGTAAATTAGGTGGATCGTACCACAACAAACACAATGTCATGATAATAAGGAAAAGGAACGTGTGGAGAGTCATGAACACCTACATCCTGAAAGGACAAGTCATTAAAAACATATAGTATCAGATTTAACCGATTAACTAAGCATTTATATGATTAATTTTTACTCACCATCAGGGTATGCCAACCGAATTGAACCTCCCTCTCTCTCTCTCTCTCTCTCTCTCTCTCTCTCTCTCTCTCTCTCTCCGTCTCTCTCTCCATCTCTCTCCCTCTCCATCTCTCTCCCTCTCCGTTTCTCTCTCTCCATCTCTCTCTCTCCGTCTCTCTCTCTCCGTTTCTCTCTCTCCATCTCTCTCTCTCTCTCCATCTCTCTCTCCGTCTCTCTCTCTCCGTCTCTCTCTCTCCGTTTTCTCTCTCTCTCTCTCTCTCCGTTTCTCTCTCTCCATCTCTCTCTCTCTCTCTATCTCTCTCTCCGTCTCTCTCTCCATCTCTCTCTCTCTCTCCGTTTTCTCTCTCTCTCTCTCTCCATCTCTCTCTCCGTCTCTCTCTCCATCTCTCTCTCTCTCCGTTTCTCTCTCTCTCTCTCCGTTTCTCTCTCTCTCTCTCCGTTTCTCTCTTTCCATCTCTCTCTCTCTCTCTATCTCTCTCTGTAGTTTTTTGCGATTACCATCGCACTTGGTAGGTCTTCAAGCTGGCATCCCATGTCTTCACATATTTGCTGAACTAAACGTTTGCAAGGGTGACTATGTTTTGATGTCCGCAGCAGAACGTCACTGATAAATTGATCCTGACTTCTCTAGGAGGGTCCCACAAGTATTTCTCTTCTCTCCCGAATGACTTGTCAAATGGGAAATACATTAACCTAGAACAGATTTTTAATAGACTTTCTTTATAGTAAAACATTAAATGAATCAAATTAAATTAAATTAAATTAAAATTAAATTAAATGAAAATTAAAACATTGAATTATTTTTTATAGTAAAGCATTAAAAAACACGACAAAAATTAATTATAAAAATATCTCGATTGTTTAGCAAAATTACTTTAAATTAAAAACTCTCGTATTTTATTTAGAGATTTTTGATAAAAACCAAAAAATATCTGCAATGTTATTGGTCTTGACCTAGTATATCGCCTTCAGTCACTTTCCGACCGCCATAATGTAACTTCCCTTTGCCTTTTCTATAAATACTTTCATGGTAATTGTTCTGACGACCTTTCTTCTATGATACCTAGACTTTATGAATTTAAGCGCAGTCCTAGATTGGCGGCAAGGTCTCATCAATTCACAGTTGAACTTGCTAGATGTAACCGTAAGTTCTATGCTAACAGTTTCTTCTATCGCACTTGTTGAATTCTCCTTGGATTCTCTCTGAAAAAAAATTGAAAAATTTATATGCAATGTCAATCGTTACATTGAGCAACAAAAAACATTTCAAGTTGTCTATATTTTTCCAAATGATTTAGGATAATTTTTCACTGCTGAATACGAAAATGACATCCATTTCTCTCAATCAGATCATGCTTTATGTTGAGTTTTTAAAAATGCGATCTTATAACTAAATCGATTACATTTTTGTGACGATTGAATTTTGTCAATATTTCTCATACAAAATGAGTTTTTTAAGAGAAAAAATTGTTTTCTAACACAGTTTATTAAATGTTACAAACATCGATTACAATAAATTGAATAGTATACATTGATATATGTAAGTAGATGTAAATTGCATGTTACGTCATCATTGTTCAAAATTCAGGGCTTGAAATTCCATTTATTCAAACCCTTAGAATGATCAGCGGCAGGGGTGTCTCTCTTCAAAGTCCAGCAGTGATCAGCCATCATGACTACACCCCAGCGTCCCTGATACCTGGTCTTCATCTCCTTCATGTCCTGATGGAATCTCTCCCACCAAATTCTCAGGAAACTGATCCATACGTGAGAATAAGTTATTTTTTTTATGTTCATGTTACATCTGAAGTTTCTGAAAGCAGTCAGCATATTGATGACAAGTTCTACAGAATTCTTGGCCTTGTGTTTTCTTTTCTTTCATTCGAGATGCCAACAGTTTAGAAGAGGACTTTAAGAAGCTGAGATTGTGAATGACATCATTTAGTTTCTTTTGGGGAAAAGGATGTGGAGAATCATTATCAAAAAACACTTCTTTTTCTTCTTCTTTTTTCTTCTTCTCGATGACTTGAGAAATCTTTCTCACTAATGTCAGGAAGTTCTCCAAAGACAGCTATTGGAATTTCATCACAACGGGCTACAGGACATGTTGATTGAAGATCAGAATACTTGAGGCGGCTCCAGTTCTTTCTATTGATCCCAATCTCATCAATAGCACAGAAGTAGCAATCATTGCTATAGTTTGTTGGCTCCCCCCACCAACCAATGGGAATTCCAAATTCCAGACAACTCTTCTTGCACTCAGTCCACCAATGCAGATACTTGGTACATGTCTTACATAACATGTGTGGCACTCAAGCTTGATCCTTATCACCAAGCTGCTGAGTCGTTACTTGATGTGTGTGTGTGTGTGTGTGTGTGTGTGTGTGTGTGTGTGGAAGTGATGAGGTCTTGAATATCAGCAGTTAGAGTGACATGGCTCTTAGTGGAATCTGAGAGACTCTGTCGTTGAGGTCAAACATTGTGATTTTTATACAGTTATTCCTGAGAAATTGACTCCTGTATTATATAACTAGTTATTCCTAATTGTCCCTAAAAAGTGACTTGGTATGCTTACTACTACACCCACACAATATTTTGCTTGTAGATCTAAATTATAATGACTAATAAAACAACCTTTCTGATTTATATTCTATGGTTTTGTATTGTACAGTATAATTGGTGCGTTTTGAGATGTAAACACTTTCTTGCTTGTTATTGGTTTATAAATATTTTGGAGGTGTGTTTTAATATTTATGGAGCTATATTTGGCTGAAAATACTTCTGATGGGTTAAAATTAATAAGTTTATAATTAATTTAATAATTAGTTTTATTGTGTGAAATATGTTGCATATTTAGATATTTTAATGGACATGGTAACAGAAACAAAAACGTAAAAAAAAATTGATTGAGCAAAACGAATGTGATTTTTGGATTCAGCACATCAAAGTTGTCCTAAATCAGCTAAAAATATTTAGACAATAAATTTGGTGTTGAACAGTGCTTCTATCTTCTTAATTCTTGTTCTTTTATTGACTTCTTTTTCATATTCTCTGACATTCGGCAACTTCTTGCTTCTTAGCGGCTTTGTTGCCTTACTTGGGGTGAAGTGATTTTTATAAAGTGGGTTGCTGTAGTGAAGTTATTCTATGGCGGTCCTCCATCTAAGAACTGACCCTGGATCGATATTGCTTAAACTCGGTGATCAAACGAGAATTGGTGTTTCAGCGAAAGCACTAATTTCGGTTTGACACTTACTAAATATCCAGGGGCTGAGATCAAACTTTTGTCCTGTACTGTCAATGTTAACTAAATAGTATCATCATCATCAGGCCACAGCCGAGATTGAACTCACCAATACTTTAATTGGTGTAGTTCATAATCTTGTCAAATAGCTGAATTCTTGATGCTTCGCTAGGGCTATCAAGGGTGTTTTATCGTGACACCATCACTAAATGGATTGCCAACCAAGGATCAGAGAGACTCCATTCGACCTCATCTAAGAGCAGGTTTGAATTCAGAGTTTTCCTTCTCCTAGACCAGATGGCAACTGGTCTAGGAGAAGGAAAACAGTTGCCATCCAAGGCTATAGAACCCATTCTGTCCTGCTATTTACCCATAGCTGGAGAGAGAAGAAGAGGATTCACACCTTTCCCAAGGGTGTTAGCACGTAAGTGAATGTAATGGATTCGACTGGAATTCGAACTCGGCTCTCCGATTCCTCAATCCAAGCCTCTATCCATTACTCCACCGTGCCTCATAAATAGTATAAAATAGAATGGTAAATACACGGTACGGGAAATCCGGCGTTTGTCTTCTCTCTTCTTAATTTTAGTTCTTTTATTATTCTCTCCTTAATAATATTTTTCTTCCTTTTTAGGTGAGTTTCATATATTTGGGAACATAATCCAAAACTTAGACTGGCGGCGAACCATGTGTATTTGGATAGAAAATTAATTCAGGAAATATATATAAAAGAAAATAGAAAGACGTGTAGGACAAGGGTGTGTTTTATTTAATCTTTACAGTGAGGTGATTCTTGAGAATTTCTACCTTGATTCATTACAGGCGGCCACAATCTTAACAATATTAGATATGCGGATAACTCAATGTTGATAACAGACACAGAAAATAAACTGCAGGTGCTCTTACAGGAGGAAGTAAAGGAAAGTGTGAAGAAAGGACTAAGCATCAATTGTAAGAAGGCAGAATGTATGGGTGTCAGCAAAAAAAGAATCCAAGATGGAAATGCCAAAATCAAACAAGTACAAAAATTTAAATATCTAGGAAGTATTTTAACAGACGACGGAAATTGTGATGCTGAAATCCGAAGGCGGTTTGGGATAAAAAAAAAGATGTCTTCCAAAGGTTAAGTAACGTAGTAAGAAACTTTCTAACACGTGGCTTTATTACCTTGCTTGGGGTGAAATGATTGAAAAAAAATTAAAATCTTCCGTTCATCATCATCAATAAACGGACCCTTTTACATCATCCAAATTACAAACTTGCTGAACCACTTTAAACACTATAGTCACGAAATTTAACTTCACCAAACACTGAACATATTCTACAGGGTGCTTCTACTGTTTTTGTACCAGATTTAGATTCATATTGTAGCATGAAACCGGAAGAGCGTTCCACAAGCGAGGAGTGCGAGAGAAGAAACTATTAGCATAGAACTTACGGTCACGTCTAGTCAATTCAACTGTAAAAGGTTCTTACTAATCTAATGCAACGCTAAAATTCATAAAGTCTGGATACGACAGCGATGAGCTCATCCGAATAATTACCAGGAATTTTTTTTATATATATATAATAGGCACAAGGAAGCAACTTGACGACGATGGGAAAGTGACTGAAGCCGAGATGCCAGGTCAGGACCAATAATATTGCTGATTCTTCTTTGGATTTTATCAAGAATCTCTAAATATATAGCAGGAGCACCATACGAGATGGAGCAACAATAATCAAATCATGTCCAAATAATAGACTTATAGATATGCAAGATATATATTGGATAGAAAAACTGCCTTAAACAGCACGATCAACCTTAGCAGCAGACCCCTTCGATGAATTCAATATAGTCTTTCCACTTCATGTCAGCTGAAAATGTTAGCCCGAGAAGGTACAGCGATTCACTTTCCAGGAGGTTAGCATCAGCCATACTTAAAATATTTACAAGCTGTCGTAATTTACATTTATTAAGCTGGTAAAAATAAAATGGACAACGAAATCTGTATTTTTTTTTTTTTTTTTGTACACATGATACTAATAATTTTTTGCGATCAATTTGTCTTATGTGTATATTTTAGATAAAAGCGGACAATTCTACCTCTGTTTCTCCCCATTTTTATTTCTGTATCTCTTAACTCTTAATCAATTGTTGGGTCTTTATCGATTCAACCTCTTGACTTGCTGCTTCGAAAGTTGATTAGATGTGTTGGGCGGGAAAGATTTTCTTGCCAGTATTTGTCATGCATCTTTGTAAGTCGACTATTCGTTTGGGCATTGAACATTGTTTTCACATCATCGTCTAGTGCTTCTTCTATGTGCCACAAAACGAATCTGCGATATTATCGGTCTGGACCTGGCATCTCAGCTTCAGTCATTTTCTCCACCACCATAACGTACTCTTCCCTGTGACTTTTCTACAAATATTTTCATGACAATTGTTCTGGTGAGCTTTCCTCTTTGATTCCATGAATTTAAGCGGAGTACTAGATTGGCAACTAGGTCTCATCATTTTTCTGTTGCAATTGTTTGATATAACCGTAAGTTCTATTCTGATAGTTTCTTCCCTCACATTTCTCCTCTGTGAAAATTTCTTCCGGCCTTTTGCTTTCCTGTTAACTACGATCTTCAAAAAATTAAATGCAGCGTCAATCCTAATGTTCTGTCTTCTCGAACCTGATTCTTTATTGCCCTCTCTCTTCAATTACGTTTTCTCGGTTTCTTTCACTCTCAGTAACTCCCTTGCGTCTTAGTTGCTTTATTGCCTTTCTTGAGAGGGGGAGTTTTTTTTTTTTTTTTTAAATGTCTTTGTAAAGAAGACACTAACACAAGCGCAATAGAGAGCGACAGCAAATGAATTCTACAAAATATTATGGGGTTTCCCTGGATTTTGCTATCCTATTCTGCCGGTCGGTGATTGGCTGTGTCGAATAAACAAGATAAAAAAAAAATGTCGTAAACGACGGCCAGAGCAGATGGGAAAAGTATCAGAGAAGAAGTAGAAGAATCCAACGAATTAGAAAAGAAAGTTCAGGTTAAACAAATAGAAGAGATAAGAACCGAAAAGGAAAAACAATTTTATTTGAGAGAAAGGGGGGAATAATTAAAAAACGAAAGAAAGAAAGAAAGAAAGAAAGAAAAAAAGAAAGAAAGAAAGAAAGAAACGAAAAGAAAGAAAGAAACGAAAAGAAAGAAAGAAAGAAATTAAATTAACTGAAAAATAAGGAAAAAACAAAAACGTGTGTAAGGTAATGGAAAATTTCTGAAAGGGAAAATAAATTATTTTATAAATTTTTTATCACGCTACATCTTTTGTTCTTTCTTTGTTTTTCATTTAATATAATTTCTTTTTTTTTTCTTTTTTCTTTCCTTCTTTTCCTTTTCAGAAATGTTCCATTACCATACACACGTTTTTGTTTGTTCTTTTCTTCTTTTTTTCATTTCGTTTAATTTCTTTTTTACTTTCTTTCTTTCTTTAGGTCTTAATTTTCATTTCAGAAATTTTCCATTATCTTCCACACGTTGTTTTCCTTTTATCTCTTCCATTTAATCTAATTGCTTTCTTTCGTTCTTTTTTTCTTTCTTTCTATTATTATACACACGTTTTTGTTTTTTCTTGTTTTCATTTTTCATTTCGTTTAATTTCTTTTTTCTTACCTTGTTTCTTTCTTTCTTTTCCGTTTCCATTATCTTATACACGTTTTTTCTTTCTTTTTCATTTAATCTAATTTTTTCTCTTTTTTCTTTCTTTATTTCTTTCTTTCTTTTCCGTTTAAAAAATTTGCCATTATCTTATACACGTTTTTCCTTTGTTTTTCATTTAATATAATTTCTTTATTTCACTGTCTTTCTTTCTTTCTTTCTTTTCGATTTCAGAAATTTTCTATTATCTTATTCTTACACACTTTTTTCCTTCCTTTCATTTTCATTTATCTAATTTATTTTTCTTTCCTTCTTTCTTTCTTTCTTTTCCATTTCAAGAATGTTCCATTACCCAACAAACGTTTTTGTTTTTTCTTTTCTTCCTTTTCCATTTCCTTTAATTTCATTTTTTTTCTTGCTTTCTCTCTTTCTTTTTTTCTATTTCAGAAATCTTCTTTCACACGTTTTTTCCTTTCTTCTTTTTTCATTTAATATAATTCCTTTCTTTCTTTCTATTTTCTTTCTTTCGTTTCCATTTCGGAAATGTCCCATTAACCTATACACGATGTTTTTTTTTCTTTTTTCATTTCATTTAATTTCTTACTTTCTTTCTTTCTTTTCTTCTTTCCTTTTCGGAAATGTTCCATTAATCTACACACGTTTTCCTTTCCTTTTACATTTCGTTTAATTTCTTACTTTCTTTTTTCCTTCCTTTTTTTTCTTTCTTTCTTTCCATTTCGGAAATGTTCCATTAACCTACAGACATTTTTGCTTTTTACTTTCGTTTAATTACTTTCTTTCTTTCTTTCTTTTATTGGTATTTTTTCTTTCTTTCTTTCTTTCTTTCTTTCTTTCTTTGTAACCTGATGAAAAATTCACAAAATCATGTCAGAAAAAAAAAAAGAAAAAAACGAATAAGATTTTTTAATTTGATGGAAATAAAGACTTTTGAAAAGTCAAAAGAGAGAAAAAGGTAAACTTAAAAATCAATAAACAAAATGGTAGCGATTCTCTATATCCATCTGAACATAGAGCAGTTATATGGGAAAAAAGCAATCGCTCTCTCTCTCTCTCTCTCTCTCTATCTATCTATCAAGTGACAGCAAAGTATCATATTTGCTTATGATCAACAGGAGCCACTGAACAAATCAGACTAGACAAGCTAAACAAATTTTAAGCTGTTTACTCGATTACCGCTATTACTACTAACACTACTACTACTAACACTACTACTACTAACACTACTACTACTAACACTACTACTACTAACACTACTACTACTAACACTACTACTACTTGGCTTAAATCTTAGAAAGATAAACTGGATACCAAGTTAGGGTTCTTAACTATGCAATGAATGATGTTTAGATTTCAAAGTCAAAACGTACTCTTCAGGCAAATGATTTGTCATACATTTCAACCACAAGGTTTAGTTTTCCTTAATTTCTAAGGTGAATTATTATTAATTTTACGACTTATATGCTTTTCATGTAAATTTTGGGTATCGAAAGTCTCTATAATTATATGACCGTTAGTTTGAGACGTCGGAATTCTTTAAATTAATGAAATAGTTAAAAAAAAAGAAAAAGGTGGTGGAGGAGGAGGAGGAGGAGGAGGGGGGATCTAAAGAAAAAGCCAAAAAAAATGAGGAGGGAGAAAAGTAAAGGTAAAAATTCGGAGCAAAAGGGGGAGAATGAGGAAAAAGAAGTGAGAAAAAGAAAAAGAAAGAGGAAAGACAAAACGATAAAAGAGAACAAGGGAAAGAAAAAAGGAGAAAATAGGAGAAGGAAAATAAAAAGGTAAAAGAATGAGGAGAGAAAGAAAAATGGAAAAAGCAAGAGAACGATGAGACAAAGAAACAGAAAGAAAGAAAGAAAGAAAAAAAAGGACGAAAATCAAAAAAAAATAGAGGAGGAAAAGGAGAAGAAAAGAAGAAAAAGAGAAAGAAAAATTTAAAAAAATAGATATAATAGTAATGAGAAGAGAAAAAGTAGAGAAATAAAAACAAACAAGAAGTTTTGGGACGTCGGAATTCTTTCGTCTAGTTTCAGTATTTGCAAGCAGACCCGATGCTGGACTGTCACGTACGCGGTTGTAGCCGACATCGCACAGACCATCTCATTAAATGTTTTTACAAGTGCAGTTCGACACCTGTCATGGTCCCCAAGGCTTAAAAGCACACATAATACACATGTCTAAATGGTGAAATACATTTTCAATTTTTCCATATATTGAGAATCATACATACAAGACATCCTAAATAATTGTTAAAAATGCCTATCCTGCAGATCATATGGTTGGTTGATTGATTCTATTTTGCGCCATATCAACACCTCTGTGAGTTATTTAATGCCGAAATCTAAATATTGTGAACACAATTTTATGACTTCAACTAACTATATTTTGAATGAGATTGTATGCCTTCAACTACAGGTGTTTTATACATTCAGGGTAAATGCATATTTTATAGATATATAGTTTGGTTTGGGATGATGTTGTTTAATGGCATATCAACACCTCTATGGGTTATTTAATGCCGAAATCTAAATATTTTGAACACGATTTTATGGTTTCAATTAAGTATATTAAGAACGCAATTGTATGCCTTCAACTAAATATATTTTGAACAATTGTATGCTTTTTTTTATGTTTTGTACTTAATTTTATATTTCCTGGGTAAATGTATGTTTTATAGATATATAGTTTGGTTTAGTTGATTTTGTTTAGCGGCATATCAACCTCAATTTAATACCAATATCTAAATATTTTGAGCACAATTGTATGCCTTCAATATCTTTTGAATGCAATTGTATGCCTTCAACTAAAAATATTTTGAATACAATTTTGAACACACTTGTATGCCTTCAACTACAGATGTATTTCCCGTAATTTTATACTTTCAGTGTACATGTATATATATATATATATATATATATATATATATATATATATATATATATATATATATATATATATATAGTTTGGTTTGGTTGATTTTGTTTAGCGGCATATTAACCTCTATGGGTCATTTAATGCCAAAATCTAAATATTTTGAATACAATTTTATGGCTTCAACTACAGATAAAATTTATAGCTGGCCATTTTGCTTTAAAATTGTATTGTTGGTAATTTTACAATAAATATGTATTGTTGGTAATTTCAGTATAAATATTTATTGTTGGTAAAAACTTTTTACATAATAATGTATTGCTGGTATTTTTAAAATAAAAATGTATTTTTTATACTTTCGTAGCATGTTTTTAGGGTTCTCTATTTTGCCACAGCTAGGACCCGAACAGGTGCTACCACCTCGTTATGACTATGTAATGAATTCGATTCGATCCTCACTCAGTGCATATCATTTATGGCCCTGAATCAGACTAACCATAGTAAATTCTTATGTAATAAATTATAATGAAAACCTATTCGTTTTCCGAACACACCAGTCTACTAGAACGTCTGTCTCTGTTTCAGACAACTGCTTCAGATACATATGTGTTTGTTCAACACCCACAGAATTCACATGTGGTTTATACTGCAACTGTATCGAGAGTGCTCAACAGTTTGAATTAAGAGTATACGCTAAAAATCTCCGTCACGATGACTTACGAATTCGTTCCAGCACAACCATCGATGGCCTCCAAACTGTTGTGTCAACACTATTTCATATACAAGGCTTGAGTCATCCAATGGTATGTTTTTCAGACAATTTCCAAAGGTACCGCATGTTAGGATCGCCTCCAAAGGCTAATAACAGCCTGACAAATCAATCATTGTGAGATTCGGATCCGAGAAAGCAGATACAATCATCATCAACATCAACATCATCGTCATTCCCATAACCGGAAGTGGTCGTAGGGTCATTGCGCAGCTGTACACCTGATTAATCCGCTCCATATGCCTTACTTTCCAACCAATGTCTTTCTTCTCTCGCACTTCTTGTCTGTGGAATTCTCTTCCGGCTTCTTGCTTTCCAGTCAACTTTGATCTTCAGAAATGTAAATGTAATGTCAATCGTTATCTCCTGTCTTCTTAATTCTTGTGCTTTTATTATTCTCGCTCTTTGATAGTATTTTTCTCAGTAACTTTTTGCGTCTTAGTGGCTTTATCGGATTGCTTGGAAGTGAAATCTATATAATAAATGCGAAAGTCAGTGTGTCACCGTGTCACACCTTTTCAACTTTGCTCGTAGAGGCCGTAACCAAACATATTGTACGATTTTGAAACCCAGCGGACTCCGTGAGAAACTTAAAAAACATCGCGGGCCGGATACGGACCGCAATCCCTAAATTTTGGATTCCCAAGTTTTCATTACTGCGATTGTTTTCGGATTCCTCCATCTTGGTTTCTACTGATAAAAACAATTAAAGGGACACAACTCTCTAATTTTCAATAGCTCATGTTCCCTAATTACAGTGTTTCAAAATAAAATTGCCCGTATTTTCAACTTTACTCCTAGAGGCCGTAGTCCAGCATATCATACCATTTTGGAATCAAGTCGACTCCGTGGGAAAATTAGAAACATTCCAGGCCGGATCCAGACCCGAACCCACAATCCTGAAATTCTGGATTCCGAAGATTTCATTACTGCCGTTTTTTTTTTCGGCGATTTTCCCTGGAGCGGTAAAGACGAAAGAGCGCCTGGAAAGCAACATTTACGGAGCATATCATTACCTATCATCAGGAGACACAACAGCAACACCGAGTGTAGTGAAGCTGTGGCTCTATATTCCCGAGAGGAGTCTATAAAAGTCGAACGGGATTCTAAGATCCAGCATTTGATTTAGTATCACAGTTTGTAACCTGGTCATTTCAGTCTTCGTTTATCATCTTTATTCTTCAACTAGCAGCATGGCCCGGCGTTGCTCGTGCTTGATTCAAAAATCGTACGACTCATACAGCATTAAAATATTTTTGCCTTTCCTTGCCTTTAAAGGAGTGCCCTTTGCCGTGCTGATGTTGCTACATGCCTTCTTGCCTATCTCACACAGCGATTTTTTCTAAGCTCTATACTAAACATTAAATGTGTTACGAAAAAAGAACTAAACAAAATGAACACAAAACAATCAGCTTTAAAAAAGGACTCGTAACTGGAAAAACCGAATGAAAAAAGAATGTTAACAACAAATACTTTTTCACACCCAACCCAGATCAGCTGAATCAGAACCAACATTGAATTTAAGCAAGCGAATGAGCCAATTGGAGTAAAGTGCGATGCAGATTTAAATTTTTCCCACTTGTGACGAATGCAGCTATCGATTTTGTTTGCATGCTAGTTAACATTCGTGTCAGTCAGCTGTTGGCTCTCACGCTGGCCAATAGAATCTTCCTGCCTATACATGGCAGCCAGCTATGGGCTCTCACTCTGGCCAGTACGAAATGGCCGCAAACTACATGAAAACTGCTGTAGAGGCATGAAAAAATCGATTATTTCCACTAACGATGGGAGTTGGGAACTGCAAAGTCGTTGTTGGCCTTTCCGCTAACTTGGAGCATGTGCATGTAAATTTTGGTGTAAATCCGTCGAAAATTGCGGCCGTGCATTCGTTACACACACACACACACACACACACACAGACATCCTGCCTTTTATAGATAGAGATATAATAAATGCGAACGTCAGTGTGTCACACTTTTTCAACTTTACTCCTACAGGCCGTAGCCCGACATATCTTACCATTTTGGAATCAAGTCGATTCCGTGAGCAAGTTAAAAAAAAAACATTCCGGTCTGGATCCGGACCCGCGATTCCGAAATTTTGGATTCCCAAGTTTTCACTATTGCGATTCTTTTCGGCGATTTTTTTACGTGATTTTTTGCGACGAATATTTTCTACGGTAATAATTTTCAAAACTTGTAAATAAATTTGAGAATAATCAAAATTAATTTCGAAATCCAGCCAAAGTCACTCATGAAATAAAAATAATTGTTTGTACGGAAAGTAAAGACAAAATGGCGGCACAAAAATTATCGTTGAATTTGTAAACGGTAAGCTTAAATATTAATGTAATACTTAAATGCAGCAACCGATTTTGAGCTCTTCCGTAGTCTCTTGTTGCCTATTGCATCTACCTATTGTGATGAAGGCTGAATCATGAAACCTTCGCAGGAGCTAGCTTAAATGTCGCCTGATGGGGCGTCTTTTAGGCTAGTTATGTATAAATATGTGTGTGTGCGCGCGCGCGGTCGAGTATAAAGTTATTGTAAAATTTAATTTTGACTTAGGTCAATCTCGCCGTCTAAGCACGAACAGCATTTCTCTCAAAATGAAGAACTAACCAATATTATTGGATGCTGTCAAGCTTCAGGTGC